TTCTCATAATAAAAATTTGGTAAAGAAAAAGGGGTTCTCAGGTGATTACCGGCAAAGGGAACTGGGATACCTAGGTGCCCAACAGCAATGCCAAGATGAAAAGCTGAGCACCAAGCAGGTTGAGCTGTGAGTGTACCTATGAAGCCTTTCCTAGAGCTTGTGTCTACATCAAACACCCTGGAGCAATGTAAATCCAACCTCAGCAAACCTGTTTTCTCTTCAAATGCCTAGTCAAGTGAGAAGGACATCTGTGGTTCTGACATCTCTTTAGCCTGAATGGGTATTTACATTGGCTTGCCCTTGAGAAAATGTCCCATGTCTTAGTTGCTTTCACAACATAGAATATCATTAGGCTTTCTTAAAGTGACCCTAAACTTGGAAGTTAAATCTTGAAGATACATTCAAGTACTGGAACTATTAACAAAAATATATCTTATTTGTGTATCACTCGGCTGTAGATCCTCAAATCATCTCTGAATTGGTGCTGACACTGTCCTTCCTTCTGGGGGGTGGCTACTTTTGTTCCCCATGGTCCCTGTGTGTGTTGTAAAGTAGCCACCGCTCCAAGCTTACTCCTGTGATGGACTACAATCTCAATACAAATTAGTAAACTAAACATGAGATTGTAGTCCATCATGGGAATGAGCTTGGAGCGGTGATTACGTTACAACAAACAGGGACCATGGGGAACAAAAGTAACCACCCTCTAGAAGGACGGGCAGTGTCAGCACCAATTCAGACATGATTTGAGGATCTACAGCCGACTGATACACAAATAAGATACATTTTAATATTCTGTAAGGTACTTGAATGCATTTTTAAGGTTTAACTTCTGAGTTTAGTGTCACTTTATTATGGCAATGCAAACTGATAATGACTGATGATATGTAAAGAACTGTAGTTCATGGTAACCAATTAAAAATGAGCTTAGTGAAGTTATATCTATGACATAGGAATACTGGTTGGTTGTTGATGGGCTACAGCTCTTTGCACATTGCTATTTGCCTTGTGAAATAAGCCTGCAAGTCTCACTCGCAGTCATGATGCTCTCCAGCAAAACACTACATCTGTGCTAAAGCCAGACATTTCACGAAATTGTCTTCAAGTAGTATTAAATACTAAAACTTTTTTTCAATAATAAATCCGGATCAAACAAATATACATTGGCCAGCAAAGTATTTCTTTATATTTTTGCCCAAGCACTTACAGTCATCATGCTTCAGAACAGCTCCAACTCTCTCAGCTCGGCTTCACTGAATATCCTGTCCAGTACAAGATCGTAAGAGACAGAACAATCTTCAGAAGCCCATCCATCTACTAGCTTAAAGAAGGGAGGAAGAAGGAGGGAGGAGTAGTGAGGGGAGGGAAGGATGGGAATGGTTGCCTTGCTGTGCCTATCCATGGAGACACACAGTTTACTAGCATATACTAGGGCGACTCCATAGGACCCTGCAAGGGAAAGGAGCCACCCTAAAACAGGATATCAGGGCCAGTGCTCAGGGGACCAGTTGATTCTGCAGGAAACTAACAAGGTTATTCGCCAAAGGGTGAAGAGTTTGGAGAAGGCAGGAGAAGTGAACAATCTAGGGCAACATAGCCGAACCGGAAAGTGAACTGAATTGGAGAATTTTTTCCAAATCAGCTATGTTGTCCTAGATTGTTCCCTTCTCCGGACTTCTCCAAACTCTTCACCCTTTTGTGAATAACCCTGTAAAATGTTTTAACATCAAGGAGCAGCTTCCATTGTAAATGATTTCATCAGCATATGAATTAGCTTATAAACCCTTTTGATTTTAATATCACTTTAATCGGAGCTCTCTGCTATTCAGAGTTATCTTTGATTCTGGTTGGTTGTTTTTGGAGTTCAGCTCTTTTCATATTGTTCTTTGTCTTATGAAGTAAGCCTGTTAGTTTCATTCACAGTCATGGCTCCATATTGTATCCAGACAACAATCTCTTACACTGTTCAGCTGAGAGAGGATGAATTAAATACACACACAGGTAATTATCGGCACGCTCTGCCTGGTTGCAGAACATCCGACGGCATTTCTGTATCTTATGATGCTGCATGTACTCACCAGTGCCACACATTACATGCTTACTATCCAATATCCTCATAATACTGAAGCTTTAAAAATGTTCAGTTGGATTGATAATAAAACGAGGTATTCTGAAGGAATGTCAGCCTACACCAGACACAAAAACTCTTATTGTACAGCGACTGTTCCATAGGGCACGAGACGCAAGGGTACAAATAAGAAGGAAGACATCAGGGTAGAAAATACGGAAGTGATGACTTGTTTTTGAAAGCACATGGTCCATGGCCAACATCCTAGTGCTGGCTTCACTACTTGAAGAGTCACTGACAAGAAAGTGTCCAGATGTATCCCCTGCACTCCTTACAGCGTTTAGGACCATACAGTAAATGGCGGTGCTCGCAGTGATGATCACGGATGGCGCCGTGCAATACCAAGTCTATATGCAAGTGAAGATCACCAGCACTCAATGAATACTTGTAAATTATTTTTTTGTATTTATTTTAAATGGTGGGTCACGTGCAAAAACCAAAGTTTCGGGACCACGCAGGGTCCCTTCATCAGGGTTACTATGTCACCCCAATGAAGGGACCCCGCGTAGCCCCAAAACGTTTTTTGCACGTGACGCACCTTTTAAAATAAATACAAACAAGAATTTACAAGTATTCATCGAGTGCTGGTGATCTTCATTTGCATCACTGACAAGGAACTCACATGTGTATATTAAGTGTTGGGGAATCCAATATGCACATGCATTTTATGGGTCTGTAGTAAGGGATAAGGAAGATAGTCCTGGAACGGTCACCTGCAATAATAAGTCAGCAATGGCAGCTCCTATATCCTGTCCTGACAGATTCCACTAGAATCTGTTTGTATCTGGGAAAGCACCACTAATCGGTCTCGTCCAGTTCCTTTTTAAGAATTTATGACTGTATTATATGCTATGGATTCCCACACAGCAAACTCTCAGTTCAATCCCAGTTTAGTCAGCAGTATACCCAGACCAGACTGTGTAAGTGCAGCTCAAAAAGTGAGCTTATTTAATAATGCAAATAGCAGAATGCAGAATGCATAATGACTGGCCGCCAATCATTTATATGAATGGGCTGATAAAAGGTGACATTTCATTGGTTAATCTGGGTTACTGCATTTTGCACATTATTGCTATACGATCTGCCCTATAGAACAACAACAAGCTCCAGAATGCTCCTTCCCTATTCCCAGGACCCGACTTCACTACAAACCAAGGATTAGCTCTCAACAAACAAATCTTGCAGCCATCCCCTAATCACATTTACACAAGTGACTGAACACTTACCCATGATGATGCGTTCATTGACAATATAAATTCACACAATGTGTTTCTCATTGAACGGGAATTATACTGAAGAATAATCCCACTGTATCCAAATATTGGATTATTGACAAGGACATTTTTAGGTATCATTTACCATTCTATAAAATCTGCATCCAATAATGAATGGGTCCATATCAATCCCAATGCAGCTAGCTATTTACCAATCATGTAACATCCTGTACATGTCACACTTGTATCAACCCCAAGCAGCTGCCAACATCTCCCAATCATTTCCAGCAAAGCTATTCTGCCATTGTATCTAAACTGGGCACACTTGTTCCTGCTCCTGTTGACCTTGGATCATTATCAACTGTGACAGCTGAAGCCTCTACTGAGAAAAATATGGGGCCACCATTGATGTCTAGCATGCAAGTTGCCTGGTAGTCTCTGGTTTCAGTGCTTTTATGAGTCACAGACCTGGAGCAAGTATGCAGCAAGTGAAGTGAGAACTCCTTATCTGCATACTTGGTCCATGTTAGCAATTTGGATACATTAAAATCTTCTGGATCTGCATGAGAACCAAGCAATCAGCATTTTCAGGAGGAAGGGTAATCAGTGGCAGCCTACATAGATTTCTTTTATATCATTTGGGGTTTTTTGTGCCATGTATAAAACCACTTGTTGGTAAAAGTAACTTAAAAATCCAAGACAAGGAGAGAAATAGTATTATAGTATAGCCGGTCAGTACTAAGGGACATTTGTCCTATTCTCTATGTGTTGGAATCATCTCATATTTCTCTTTTTATTTGAATTCATTGATTTGTAGCATCAACAAGATACAAAAAATGACTTAAATCGTTCACATATCATGTTAGCAACATTGTGACAGTGCATACAAGCAGCTTGGATGACAGACTGTCAGTCACCTGACATAAACCCTCCGATCCTTCCTCATCTGTCACTGTACATGGCATATGTTCTGCCAGCTCAATGCCCCAATGTGCTACCACTTCTGCTATGTGCCAGTGTAAATGAATCCTCCGCACACAATGCTGCACCTTGAAGCTGACAGCCTGGCAAAATAATTTCCTTCCAGCTCCTTTCAAAACCTCCACTTCCAATGCACACTAGGCAACCATCACAATAAAATGCAACAGTGCCACTGAAATACCTGCGAGGACATGAGGACACAGGGCTACATAGTTTAATAAAGGGATGGAAGTGGATACACATGTGGCTGAGTGTTGCCTTCTGTGCTGTGTTCAAACATACTAGTGACAGGCAAAATATATTTCTAATACATAAGAAGTTGTGATAATTTAGCAAAATCGAGGGGGTCACATTGTAATCTGACTAATGCCCAGAGTCAGTAGGAAAAAACACTTACCCCATAGTTCTTTTTTAAGTCTTCACATAAATTGTGTGAATATTCAGTTCCATTATCCAATCATGTGCAAGCAAGTTCCTGTTCACAGTGAATACCCAATCATGTGCAGATGGAATAAGCAAACAGGAATTTGCTTTTCATATGATTGAATGATTGGATGGAATATTTACATAATTTGTTGTGTGAAGATTCTAAACGCCTTTAGTAAATCAGGCTCTATGACTCTCTAATTGTATAAAATCTACATGTAATATCTACTTAATATAGATAGTGTTCTCACCTCTCCAGGGCAATGGCTGTCATGGAGTATATGCTGGTGAAGACGGCAGATATAGGGAAGAAGTTGTGGAACTTGCAGTAGATGAGCCCATAGTACCATTGGTTGTGGATGGCATAGGTGAAGTTGATGACTGTGTTGAAGGCTGACATGGAGGCTTCAGCGAAAGCCAAGTTGACCAGGAAATAGTTGGTGACAGTCCTCATTCTCTTGTGGGCTAGTATGATCCACATGACAATGATATTCCCCACCACAGACACGATGACCATAATGGAATAGGCTACAGCCCAGAGGGCTATCTGCCAGGGCGGCTGTATGAACTGGTTCATTTCGGTGCCATTCCCTATAGTGGCATTCAGGGCTGATTCATTCTGCGCTGAGATATTATTCATGATTGGAGTCTATCAACAGGCTGCTGAGATCCCTCCAAGAAATCAGAAGAAAAGTTCAAAATTGACAGAGGTGCAGTCAGCTGGGAGTAGACATAACACTGGCCAGGAGTAGTCCCATGGGCAAGCTGTGGCACACTGGCATCTAAAGGAATTTGTATAGAGGAGCCCAGTGCAGATGGTGCTGCAGCAGACTGGAGTCCAGGTCCTGTCCAGAACCGACAATCACATTCACTTCTAAAGTGTCTGATGGTTCTGCTGCTGTCACGATGGGCTCAGTTCTGACTGGTGCTGTCCCTTCTCCGGCGAGTGCCTGCCGAGTGATTCATGTTTCCAGAGTTATACTATGAGACGCCGAGAAGGGATTTAAAGTCAGTGTCATCGGGAGGGGCGGGGCCTGATGACAGTGGGCGGGGCTGCCCATTCCCAGGACTCAAGGCAGCAGAGGTAGAAGCTCGGTCAGGCGACTGACATATGGAGTGGGGAGCTGCGCTACGGTGTAGGGAGCAGACATGAATGGGGTGTGGAGGGGGGTAAGGGGTGAAATGGGAGAAGATGACCCTGTTTATTGCTTTATAGTCATGCAGTGGAGGAGCAATCGGATAGCATTGAGAGGCTTGATGATCAGGAACACGATATAATGTGCAGTGGGGGGCTAGCTTGCGATCGTGCACGGTCTGCGGTCTGTCTGGAAGTGATGTCTGTGCAGAGGAAGGATGGAGGGCTCACAATCTGCTGCCAATTATAACTGCAAGGAATGGTCTGTCAGCTGCACCTGGTGCCCCTCCATCACTGCACACAGACATCATGATACATAGGGAGACACTACGATCCTGCGCATGCTTTAAATCACTTTTATGATGTGGATTCCAGCCGGTGTGCAGCGGCAGGATTGCATACCCTTCATCATAGTGTTACACTGGAAATGGTGTGTTCAATCGCAAATGGATCACGATGTGCATTAAGAGAGAAGCAAGGATACCATTACATATGTGTGTGAATACAGATACTGCTGGACATCAATGGTCGGTCAGTGTACTGCATAAGAGTAAGTAACAGGGACCTGTCCCTCCTATTCCCAGGGGAAGGGATCCATTGTGACTAGAGCTGTCAGAATCCTAAATCCATGCTGCTGCTTCACTGCTGAACTCCACACAGGAACACTTTCATTTAAAGTGACACTAAACTCAGGAGTTAAACCTTAAAAAATGCATTTAATGACATTAACTATTAAAAAAAAATATCTTATTTGTGTATCACTCGGCTGTAGATCCTCAAATCATCTCTGAATTGGATCTGACACTGTCCTTCCTTCTGGAGGGGGGCTACTTTTGTTCCCCATGGTCCCTGTGTGCGTTGTAAAGTAGCCACCGCTCCAAGCACCCGCCCATGATGGACTACAATCTCAATACAAATTAGTAAAATAAACATGAAATTTTAGTCCATCACAGGAGCGTGCTTGGAGCGGTGGCTACTTTACAACGCACACAGGGACCATGGGGAACAAAAGTAGCCCCCCTCCAGAAGGAAGGACAGTGTCAGCACCAATTCAGAGATGATTTGAGGATCTACAGCCGAGTGATACACAAATAAGATACATTTTTGTTAATAGTTAAGATACTTAAATGCATTTTTAAGATTTAAAGTGACATTAAAGTCAAAAATCTTTTTCCCACCACCCAATGTTAATTAAAGCACTTACCTTAAATGATGTTTCTTAATCTGATCTTCTTCTTGTTTCCAGTCATTTTCAGATGTCCCTCCAGCGCTGCGGCGGGACTCCGATCCAGCGCTGCGGCGGGACTCCGATCCAGCGCTGACTCCTCTGTCCTTGCTGGCACTTCCTGTCCCATGGTGTCTGCATGCAGGTGCACACGTCCATATACTTACCCTGTGTCTCTCCTCGGGTCCTGGCTGAAAATGTGAACTGCGCATGCGCCCGCTCCAAGATACTCCAAGAAACATTTAACCTATTCATGTTTTCTACCGCGATCGTGTGGGACCGCCCAGGCGGTATTGCGGTGGGAAACCGTGCGATCTGATTGGCGCAAATGGAGTGCCATTAGAAAATAATGGCACTGCCAACGCGATCGGCGGTGGTGTGCGATTCCGTGACCGCCCAGCCATCTGCTCAGTTTGGTGCACGATGACCAGGCGGTCATGGATTGCACACCACCGCCGATCGCGCTGCCAGTGCCATTATTTTCTAATGCACACAATCGCGGTTGAAAACAATGCGCGTTTATTCGCATGCAGATGATGGGGCAGCGGGGCTGGTTTTAATTTTTTCAATTTTTATTTACTTTGTAAACATTTTTAATTTCCATTTATTTTATTATTTTAACTTTATCGCCTTTTTAATTTTTTTACATTTTAAATTAGTTAATATTTTTAACTTTTTTATTTTATTATTTTTTCACTTTTTTCACTTAACTTTGTAAGTACAAGTACTTGTGAAAATGCCTTGCATCGGTCCCGATTCCGATGCTAGCATTGGTATCAGGACATCCCTAATATATATATATATATACATATATAACACTGGATAAAATAGGCACTCTCAAGACTTACAAAGGATAATAGAAGTAACCAAAAATGTATTATTAAAACTACCTTTTGATTGCTTATCTTCTCCAGCAGAAGTCCTGAGAGTGATTTTATCCAGAGTTGATTTTATCCAGTGTTATGTTACTGATATTCTATGTTCTATTACAAGTACCACTGGCGGAACTATCAGGGTCGCAGCGGTCGCAATTGCGACTGGGCCCTAGCGTTCTGCCACTTGTGGGGGCCCAGCAAGGAAGTAGAGGGCCCCCCCCCCACGATCGTGCCGCTCCTTCCCTGTCGCACAGCCACCCGCAGCATGTACGGGCGGCTGTGCGAAAGGGCTGGAGACGCTGTCACTCCGCTTTTATTCCCAAAGTATTTCGTTTAAATCGTTAATTGTGACCGATAATAATACATTTACTGCCACCCATCATTTACTGCCATGGATGGCATATAATTAACGGTCACAATTAACCATTACAAACAAATACTTTGTAAATAAATACCGGTTTCCTCGTTAATCCCGTCTGTACATAAACACAGATACTGGGTCAGCGTTCTCGACAGAACACCGGCACTAAAATTTTAAACAAGCAGCTGCCTGAGGTCCCACGCTTGCTGGGGACCTCGGCAGCCTTCCTGTTAACCATGCAGTGCCGGGGGGTTGGGGGGGGGAGGGGGGGCCTTCATGGTTTCTTGCACTGGGGCACTGAAGGTTCTAGTTACGCCTCTGACAAGTACTGCTCACTCCTCCTTGGACCTTCTCACATTTTGTAATATTACTGCCTAGAATTAAAAGGAGAACTATGAGGTGAGTGCTTTTCACTCACCTCATAGTTCTAGCCAACCTGTGACAATGAGACTGTCACAGGTCGGCTCTGGCTCTGCATCTAGATAGGCAGAGCCAGCTGTCACTCACGCAGCTGGGCGGATCCAGACATAAGTGTCGGGATCCTCTTCAGCTGCGGTGTCTCAGTATACCGCAAGCTGTAGCTTGCGGTATACTGAGCTTAGGGTGACTGGAAGACGCTGGTTTGTGCCCTCCCGTTACCCTAAGGAGAGCTATGGGGAAAAGCCCTGACCCCATAGTTCTCCTTTAAAGGAAACTCGGACTAAGAAGCTGGCATTGATGACTTTCTGCAAATTCTAGTTGCCTAGTTGGCGTATTAATTGTACTTTAGCCCCTTGATTGTGTTATGTGTATGGGCCCCCTACTATTTTATTGGGATTATGCATAAGGGTCAGTATACATGGACTAATGCTTCTTCCTTCTGAAATGCATTTGTGAAGCCTTTTTACAGAATGTGGAAGGCATTTGTTTGATATTTGAATTGGATCTTTTGCAGTGGTATACTCCTTGAAAATTAAATATGTGATAGTGGAAGACAGGGCCACCATTAGGAATAATGGGGCCCTGTATAGCCTACCTGACAGGCCCCTACCCCTACCAGTTTACATGCTTATGCATGCTCTACACGCACATGTTCTTTCAAATAAGATGGTTGGGATGGCATGGTTGGATTTATTTTTAAAAAATGTATTTAATTCTTTTAATTTTTTTATCACCTTTTTGTAAATAGTTTTTCACTTAAGTTTTGCTTTAGCAAAGGAGCTAACAAGCCTCTATGTGACGGCATTTGGAGTTGACATGTTCTCTATATGGAAACATCAGGGGTCTATTATACCCCTGATTTCTCCCTTGCCCTCCAATACAGAAGATCAAGCATGTGCTTATTTGTCTGTTTACCCAGCACTTCAGTGGGTCTTGTGACAGTCCTGAAGCAGAAAGTGCGGAGAGTACAACTTCCTACTTAATTAATCACAGTGCTGACTGGAGGATGGACATTCCTTGGTCTGCTTTAGATTTCCATCCTGACATATTTTCTGTGGTCGATGAGCCCCCTAGAGGAGCGGAAGGGGGGTGGCATAATCACAGGCGAATACAAGTGATCTGGGTGACTGTACGGTTGCCCAGATCCGTGTGGACAGCCCCTGCCTTGCCCCCTGCTGCCTTTATAGGGGTCCGGTATGGAAGGGCTGGCTGTACCCCCTTATTGGCAGCCCTGCTAGCAGATAGTGTCAAGCAATACTTCTAGGTGTTGGGAGTATGCTGACATTTTCTGTATGATTGCTTAAAGCTAAGCTCCAGGCAAACAGCTAAATACACAGATTAATTACACATACAAGAGCTGTTTTACTTGGCAAAGGATTTGTAATCCTGTTCACCCAATCCTGATATTTACACAGCTCTGCCCCACAGCAAAGTCCATTCTAGCAGTGGAGATCTTTTTCTGCTGCAGTTTCGCTTTCACTTCTGTGTCTTGCCCACCCCCAAACTGTGATTGGACAGTGAAAGAAGACAAAGCACAGAACTGAGCTCATCTCTTATGCTGTCTCTCCTCCCATTACCATGCTCCTAGCTTTGCAGCATACATGAGAGGCTTCTTGTGCTGCTTCTCCCTCTCCGAGCTCTGCTGCACAGATTGTAGAGTAGACTGTAAGAGGCTGATACCAGGTCAAATTGAGGTATGTACACTGCTTGCTGATGTATTAATTATTGCAGAGCTGCATTCAATTGTGCCTTTTATATCTGCCAGGTGTAATATTCTCAAAGTAAACTTTTACTGCATAACAAAGCTGCCATTACTGACTTCCGTGTGG